GGCTAGCATATAATAGAGTATACAGATGTTGTATTATAGAGTGTTCACCTGAAATTTGTTATTAGCCAATGTTAGCCCGATAAATTTAATAAATAAAATCACTCTTAAAAAACAAAGTTCATCACATCACTGTGAAATAAGAACCTAGAGCTAGAGTCAGTAACTGAACATGAATTTGTGTTGACTCATTGTGGAAGCGGTTTAAGGATGACTGTAATTGTACGTGCTAGGGCTGTTTTATTAGGTGGAGGAATTTCCATAATCAAGTGTTTGAGAAGACCGGCTTTGAATGTTGTGAAGCCGTGGCATAAACTGGTCTGCCTCATATCCGTTTCTCTCTTTTGGATAATAATAACTGTTTTCTTTTGAGGGATTCCTTATCTTAGCTCATGTGGTATGTGTAGAACATAAAAAGAAAAATATAGAGAGAGGCTTACCAAGTGGTAAATTGGAATAAGGGAAAGATTTACTCAGAGAAGCTGCATGGGGAAGAAAAGGCAAGCAATGATGAAACTCTGGACAATATGGTGAAACAGCTATCTAATGTTGATTTTTATAAAGTTTTGCTTTATGGCTTATGATGTTATCCCTTTTTCTGATCTATGTTTAAGATTTACATTTCACAGTAAAACCTATGGAGTGGATTTATTTTGCGGAATAAAGAAAAATTCTGAAATCGTCCTAAGGTTGGAATAAGACAAGAATAATGCAACGTTGTAATCAAGATATAACTACAAGGTCTTAATTATATCTGGGTTATAATCATATCAACTAGAACTCTAATAGAAAATCAAACACAGATATTATGTTTGATTCCCTAACATTAGGATCTGGAGGAAAAATCACCTTGAATGATGATGGAGGGAGAAATATTCTTGATAAATATTTGTGCAATGTCAGATGTTTCTAGAAACCTTTCTGATACACTGCTTTATTTGTTCATCACAACACCTGCGGTGCAAATGTCATTATCAAAACTAATCTGTACATGAGACAACTGAGGCTCAGAGAGGTAACCTTCCCAGAGGTGTCTATTTACTATGTGGAATTTGAATTCTGGTCTTTTGACTGAGGTCTGACTCCTTTTAAAAAATAATAATTGGTGTAATAATTATTAAAAAGTTACACATTTGGGAATAAAAACAACTAAAATGTGTAATGTCATTTGGAATTTTATATATTATTTTTAAATTATCTTAATATGTACTTTTACATTGTTGTATTTATTCAACACCTTGTTATTCTGCAATACCATTTCCATTATTTTCCCACTGTTCCTGAAAATATATACTTGAGAACTCTGTTCAAAGTCTTGAGTTCTTCAAAAGAGACTCGATAGATCTCACAGATTATCTACAGTTACCATGGAAAATCTGTGGAAGAAATAGGTATAGAATTTTTATTTTTATAATGAAGTAAGTATTCTTTTGGTAAAAGTACTGCTTGTAGAGGAAAGGTAGCTAGAAATATATTTTTTAAAGCAATGAAGTAAAAGAAAGTCATACTGCATATTTTTACTATCTTCTTTCACAGAGGTCATTTTAAGGTGTCTAATGCAAGCCAAAGACTAGGTAAACTGTAAACTAAGCAATGTATTTCGAGTATGTATATGGTATTCTGGACTTCAAATAGAAACAAATATTAAAAACTTATCATAAAATATTTTATATCTATTATCTTCATGAGTAGTTACCTCATTTTTGTAGAACATGATGCTAAAATAAACCATTTTTGCTTTGATAGTAAGGGTCTCTAACAGGGGAAATGGCTGTTAATCATTAAGTAGACTAAATGTTAGCTAACTAACTAGATCTGGCTGGCAGTTCCCCTTACTCTTTCTTTTGTGACAGCCATCTTTAACCATGAGACAATAAAGTAAATATATCAAGGATGTAAGAGTGTAAAGATACAAGGAACCTTTGATGCATTGTTGAATAGCTGCACCAAATGTTGCAACTATTATCGAAAAAGTAAACTGTGATATCCAGACTGTTTCACTGGTGTTTTTAAGGTGTAAGGGAGAAAAGATCTGTCACTTGCTACTCAGTATTGTTCAGCTCAGTATGGACTTATATGAAGGTTTCTTAATTAATCAGATAGTACCAAATTCCAGTAAAGAAATGAATATTGACATTATCATAAAGCAACAAAACCAGTTTGCCTGTGAAGCTTATGAAATCAGCTGTGTTACTTTAAAGATCATGTCTCTCGTATTACTGGAATAAAATTTTGTTTGTAAAAAGATATTAATTCTCAGGTATTTCTAACCACAAAATTGAAAATGCACCTAAATTTCTATTGTAATGCTACTTCTCTTTCTTTTGATTTTCTTTCATTTTTTTTCACTCTCTTTGTAGTCTTTGACAGATGGGGAATTGGTATATAAAAAAAGTGTTCTAAAAAGTATCTTTCTAAATGAAATGTCTGAATAACCTGAGATTGGTTATGTAGTGTTCTTCATTGTATTTCTCTCCTGAGATTTCGATATGAAAACACATTGCTTTTTTCCTTTTCCTGGTAACTCTGCTGCTGGTGGGTGTTTACAAGAGAAAGTAAGAGTTAAAAAATATGTTTGATGTTGGAACATTTAAGGAAGCTCCATGTAGAAGTACAGTCTGATAAAAGAACACAGGATTTAGAACTGCATGAACTTGTGTCCCATTCAGAGATTACTCAGTTTGGGCTGTACAGTTTTAGATAAGCTGCTTGATGTCTCTGAGTTCTAGTTTTAATATGTATAAAATGGGGATAAACAATACTTATCTAATAGTCTGAGGTCAAATACAAAATTATGTGAAATTTCTGGCACATAAGCTCAATAAAAGATCGAGTTTTTATTATCGTTACTATAATCCACATTATAGGGCATCTACGGACGAGTGAGGCCTAATTCATCATGCCCTTGAAATTTATGTTCTAGTTACAAGGATAAGACAAAAATTACAATACAATTGAGATTATCATATCAGAGGTATGCAATACTTAGAGGAGGGAGTAAACATCTCTGCTGTAAGAATACAAACAGACTTTCTGAGAGAGGTAGCTTTTTAACAGACCTAGGACAAAGGGTAAACGGGCAGAGAGAAGAATGAAGCAGAAGAGCACTCATAAATTAAAAAAACAAAAAACAAAAACAATAATTCAGTCTGACATCTCTGTGTGACTAGTGTTTAAAAATAATTTGTGTAGGAGGTACAACCAGGAGACAAGAGCCAGGCAGTGATGAGCTTTGAGTGTCTATATGTGTTTCAACAGACAGAAAGTTTCTGAAGGAATTTTTATAAAGAAGAACCCTCTGCTTCGGGAAGATGATTTTTCCAACTATAGAAAGAATCGAAAGACAGAAGACTGAGAGCCACGATGGGATTCCATGAAGAGAGTTTTACAACCATTAAAGAAAAGGTAATGAGGGGTTGAAGGTGATAAAAGGTGATAGTTAACAGATAAGGGTGAAAATCTGAGCCAGAATCCCTTCTCCACAACCCCAAACCCCATTTCTGCTTGCAACATATTAGACACAGTTCTTTTTTCTTACATTCACCTAAGTCAACTTTCTCAGACATAAAGCAGGATCTTGGGGCACTAGTTTCCCCTCTAGAATCACCAATAACATATTGGTGTATACCCTGAGTTGTTTTTACAGAAACAAAAAACCTCCACCAGATAAATGCTAACTCTCATTGACCACTGTCACGTAAACTCCAGACTAGCTGGCGTGAACGATTGATGACCAGAACTCCTAAAATATCTCTTTGTAACTCCAACTCCTACTAATCAGAAGATAACCATGAGCTGATCATGCATTGAATACCACTACCCCAAATTTCACCGTTTAAAACCAACTGTCAACAGTGGGTGGAGGGTTCCGGTCTTTCAGTGTTTTCACTGCCCGTTCTCCTCCCATCAGTACCCATGAAATAAAGCTTTTTTTTCTTTCATTGCACCCCCTAATTAGCTGTCTGCAGTGCCCTGAGAACTAACCCTTTATGTGGTAACAAGGGATTTAGTTATGATTTTCTGGTACTGGTTGAATGTGGGGATGCCCATCAGAAAGTCATAGTCTTTAACAAAATAGTCTTCAAAATTTAAATATATCAATTATAAATAGTATTTCAGTAAATCAGGGCAGAGGAATATAAAATCAAATTCTATACCTAAAAATTTCAAAAATTTGTCCACCTTATGGCAGGAAGTAACACTTGCATATTCGAATATCACATAGTTCAATTCAGTTATTTTCTCAAAGGTCTATAATGCTGAAAAACTTTTAGCTTGAACTACATAAATAATTGGAAAAACACAATTGTTCCAAGCCCAAAAATTTATTTGTATTTGCCAAACTTTCCTAATTTTCTAGGGACTTATCTCACCCTAGAACACAAGCTAGCATTTACAACTATTATCATTATGTAATTGTAAAACAGCAGAATCCTGGGGGTTGCAATTCTCTTTATAACAGTAGTGTTAATTTACTAACCGAGTAGCAGTGTTAGATTTAAATGCTGTGCTCAGTAGGAAATTTGGAATAATTGTTCTTGCTTTGTACAAATTTTATGGGAGTTTTATGATGATTGAACATCTCAGACTAAGCACTTCAAAAGAGAGCTGCCATTCTTCTGCCAACTGCTGCATTATTAAAAGATTACCTTTTTATGTCAGAGATTATATTAACAAGGGGTTTATATTGGGGTCCTAAACTACTTCTGTAAGAAACATGGGCTCAGCTAGGACATAAACTTCATTTATGAAAATATTAAATAGCCAGTTCCTATGGAACAATGTTATGATTTTACCAATTTTAACTATACTCTTTAAAAGAAAAAAAAATCAGCATTTAAATACAAAGAAATACAATATCCTTTTATTTGCTATTATAGTTCTTAGTTCTAAGAAAGCTAAATACATTTCAAAAGCATGAACATATAATTAAATCTAAAATTTCCAATTTCTAAAATTTCAGATTTCCAAGAGCAAAGGAGAGTTGATAAAATGTACTCTCATGCAGAGACCTGCCCATTTATCACCATATGGGGACTGTGTGTATCCATAGACATAATACACATGCTTGACTATACACAAATGGGTAAGTTGGAGAAGGTCAGGCTTTGAAATCTGTTACTAGAATATAGATTTATCCAGGTAAACTTGTATATTAGCTACTGTACATATTTTTAATAACGTAAAATTGGTTATGAACATGATTATTTTGTTTATTTTTTTTTTTCCAGAGAGGGCTTTCTATACATTTTTCCCCCTATGGAACATCCTTAAAAGAATTGAAATACGAAGTCATAGAAAGCAACAGTATTTCAATATATGACACATAGTTAAAATCATCACACAAGCTCTTCTTTAATCTCATTGCTATTGGTAGCTCCTCCTAATTCTTCAATCATTACTTCCTGTTTGGGGTTTTCAGCACTTTTTCTTAAGCAGATTTCCTCATGTGGAGTTTGAATTGTAGATTTCAAGGCTAACTGATAAGATGTATTTATGACCACATTGTTTTTAGCTCTTAGAGTGTAGGCTTCCTTGGGCTTTGCTCTTTTTTGGCAGAGCTGGAGGTGAAAAGCATCTTCAAAACCACGGTGAATATTCTCATGGAAGAAACCATAAATGATGGGGTTGATGCTGCTATTGCAAAAGGCCAACCAGTGTGCAAAAGGATAGACGTAGATGTTGATGATCTGCAGTTCATTTGGAGACAGGTCGGCATAGTCTGAAAGCATCATCAGAGTCCAGAGGGGCAGCCAGGAGAGAATAAAAAGCAGGGCCACGATCAGGAGCATCTTAATGACCTTCTGCTTCTTCTTAGATACCACTTGCCACTGCTTCTGGTTCTGTTTGCCCATGTGAGGCACTGTCATTTTGAAGAGTGAAACTCCAATCCTTCCATACATGATGACAATGAGGGACAAGGGAGCCAGGTAGATATTGGCAAACAACACTGTAGTATAAATCTTTCTCATTTCCCTACTTGGGCAATCTTCCCGGCACCAGTAGACTGGAATGGTTTTATTCTGGGAGTTGAGTCTCACTCGGTAATATTTTTCTTCTTGTACATGTAACATGATTGCTGATGGAGATATAATGGCAATGGCCAGGACCCAGATTATTATAATAATGACAAATGCTGTCTTGATAGTGAGCTTTGGTTTAAAAGAGTAAACGACACACCAAAACCTGCAATTAAAGGCAAATATCAGTGAGGCACTGCCTCAAAACTCCTGAATTGTGAATTAAATTCAAGTAATTCCCACATGCCTCTCAGAAACATAGAAAGCTACCATTAGTAGGAGAAAGGCATGCACTCCCACTTTCCATCACCGATATAACTTTTCATTCAAAATATGAATAAGTAGAGTACACCAGACACTATTATTAATAAAAGTAATAATAGTAACTAGTATATGTTGAAACCAAACATTTAATACTCTGTTCTAGGCTCCATTCCACTGGTTTGCATGGATTATCTCTTTAAGCGTCACCATTTAAAAACAGAAAAAAAAAAAACTTAGAAAAGATAAAAATCTTGCCCCTAATTATGTTTTTTTACACGAGTAGTTTGGCTTCAGAGCCCATATTCTTAAGCTCTTCGTCATGCCCTTCTGTGGTCCTCTCCCATATTATCGTGTGCTTGGCTACGTAACTTGCCCTGGCCAATGGGACATTAGCAAGCATGACAAAGAGAACTTTTTATGCACTTGCACATTGGAGCTTGTCTTTTCAGTATGCTTCCTCTTGAAAACCAGCTACCAGGTGGTAAAGAAGCTTGAATTCGATGAGAGGCCATGTGGAGAAAGACCTTGAGGATGAGAGGCTGGCCATCTAGGATGCTCCAGCCCTGTTTAGCTCCCAGGGTAGTGCTGCATGCAGCACGAGTGATGTCAGCTACAATAAGTGAGCAGGAGAAACACCCAGAGGCACTCAACCATCCATAGAATCATGAGAAATATTAAAGCATTATTGTTTTAAGACACTAAGTGTTTTGATGGTTTCTTTCAGAGCTAAGAGTCTAAGAGTTTCCATTATGAATTCTGATAATGTGTGTTCCCACCGGTCTGTGTCCTCTGGAAATTCAACATTAGTATATAGAGTAAGTCTGATTCATTTTACTTCCATCTTGTTATTGTGATTCTTGATGTTATTATTACTGATATTTACTATGTTAATTATAAGATAATCACACCATTATGTAACTGTATAACATTTTATATTTTTCAAATACTATCATCTATTTAATCTTTCTTGATTTTTATGATTACTCTATAAAACTGAAATGTTTTAAAAATTATTACTTTCCAGATCTGCAGGTAAGAAAACTTAGAGCTTCTAAGTGGTCCAGCAGCAACTACAAATTAATTTATCTGACATATCTTCATATAATGACCAGTTAGCTTGAACTCTGTTCTGTTGGCCTTCTTTGAAACTACTTAATTGCATGTATAAGGTCTTCTGTCTTAATTTCCAAGTTTTCATATAGTCTTCTGATCAGTGAATCCTCCCATTTATTCGCCCTTAAATTATGGGTAACTTCATCAGCACAATTCTAGGTATTTTGCTCTTTTTGTAAACCGACTATTAAGGACTCAAATTTTTACAATTTAATCATTCAACAAATATATGTATGTATATTCAGAAAGGCAAAGATGAACAAGATAGAAAATGCTCCCTGCCAGGAAATAGTCAATGGAAATATTATGTAATTATGCTAAAATTATGCTAGAGTTTGGAGTTGGTCAGTGCATTAGTCAGGATTCTCCAGGAAAACAGAACCAACAATATATATCAATATATATTGATATATATAAAAAGACATTTATTATAAGAAATTAACTTGTGCTATTATGGAGGTCGAGAAGTCCCAAGATCTGCAGTTGGCAAAATGGAGACTAAAAGCGGAGACTCAGGAGAACCATTGGTGTAGTTCCTGTTCAAGTCTGAAGGCCTGAGAACTGGCAGAGCCAATGATATAAGCTCTCGTCCGAAAGCCGCATGCTCGAGACCCAAGAAAAACTGATATTTCAGTTCAAGTCCAAAGGCATAAAATGACTGATATCCCAGATCAAAAATCAGGCAGGAGTTTTCTCTTACTTGCAGCTTTTTTGTTCTATTCAGGCCTTCAACTGATTGAATAAGGGCCACCTTTTTAGGGAAGACACTCTTCTTTACTCAGTCTGCTTACTTGATTCTTTTGGTTCAGTCTCATCAAAAACCCCTTCACAAATACCCAACTATAAAGTCTGACCAAAGTAAACCATAAAAACACCCTCACAAATACCCAACCATAAAGTTTGACCAAATATCTGGATATCTCGTGACTCAGTCAAATTCACACATAACATTAATCATCACAGCCAGTTAGGAAAAAAAATCTCAGTATTCTAGCTCAAGAACCAAAGGATGATGGCTGGTTTGGGACCAGTTAGCACCCAGAGCGATAAGATAGAAGTGAAAGAGAGATGGTTTCAAGAATAAATCTCAACATTTTCACTTGAATTGGGTAAGTGATCCTGACATTCACTGACTGGGGAACATGAGAAAAGGAGCTGATTTTTTTGTTCAGATTTTTATACGGGACTGGTAGTGAAGATGGATTCAACTCAGGGCATGTTTAGTTTGAGGTGCTTGTTATTGGATGTACAGATGAAGTCATCTAGCAAGTGTTTTAAACATAATTATGAAATTCAGGAGAAAGACTTAGTCTGGAGAAATAGGTTTGGAAGTTTGTTTGGAGTTTGGCTTCTTCTAAGAGCTGACTCTCAGAAAAGCACTCAAGTACAAGTAGTTTAGACAGAGATGAAGGTGTGGTGGCTTTAAAATATGTCCAAATTCTTTGACAGTCCTTCCAAATTCTAGTGCCTTACACTTGAATATGAACTGGCCTTAATGACTTGCTTCTAATAAATTGAACGTAGAAATGATACTGCATGACTTTCACTGGTGTTCTCTCTTAGGACACAGACATTCAGAGCCTTGGACTGACATGTAAGAAGTCCAGCCACCTTGAAGCTACCATGCCGTAGAGCCCATGTGGAGATATAGTACCTAAGAAGCCCCTATCTCCTAATTGTTCAAGTCTTCCCAGCCTAAACACCAAGAGACTGAGAGAGCCTTCAGCCCCAACCCTGGAGCACCCTTCCCCCTACCTGATGTCAAGTGGAGTAGAGACAAGCTGTATTGCTGAATCTGCCCACATCACAAATTCAAGAGCATAATAAATACCGTTGCCATTTTAAGGTACTAAGTGGTTTGTTTTGAAATGTGACTTGTTATTTAACAATAGATGACTGAAATTATAGACAAGTGATGTATGGGTGGGATGACGGGCAGTAATAGTGTGAATTAAACCATCAGTCACCGCATGGTCCATATTTTCATTAGTTTTTTGAAAACGTAAAATATTATCGATACAGTTAAAATTTTTTTGGTAGATTTATTTAATCCCAGTCATCTTCCTCTTTTCACAGAAATCCTGAAGTTGATGTATATCCCTCCTGTCACATTTTTTAATGCTTTTATAGTACTGGTCTGTATCTATAATATTTTAAATTTTATATAATGGCACTATATTATATTTATCATTATGTAACTTCTTTTTTGAGATTGTATGCTTTTGAGATGCATTTTGATATATTTCAACCTAGCTCACTAATTTTAACCATTTTATAGTTATTCAACAAATAAATATAACACAATTTATTTATTATTATAACCTCATTTACTTTTTAAAATGAAGAGCAATGTTGATTTCTAAATCTCTGTTTGGGAGGCATACTAGAAATAATAAAAAAAGGAATTTAGGGACATTTAATACTAAATGTAATATGGAAGTAAACCTGAAAAGCTCAAGATTCAAGTAGAAAATAAAAAAGGATTTTATAGGTTTTATTCACTGTAAAGATGACATGTATAATTATATGAGGATAAAATTTATTTTAAACATTCACATCAAAAAATGTATAGTTCTACTTACTAAAGTTAGCATAAGTATTATTATAAACAAATTAGTATATAAAAATAATTTAATAATAGTAACAAGATATAATAAATTTGTAAATTTAATGTAAAAATATATCTTTAGCATATAATGATTAGCATATGTTTAAATTCTATTTTTTACCTGTAAACCAAATAAACTAGATCTATATGATAAGTTCTTGGAAATAGATTAAAACATTATAAATAATGATGCAAATAGATTAATATTAAAAATAGAATCTACCAAGTTTTTTTGATGTCAACAATTCTATTACATTTCATATTTTTAATCTCTCTCTCCATATATATATATAAAATTTCAGATATATTTCAGCACATTGACACTTCTACTATTAGAAAATTCAAGATTCCAGTGTCAAAATAATAAAATTATACTGTTTTGGACTGCATATTTGTATCCCCCCCCACAAAAAAATCTATATGTTGAAACCCTAAACTCCACTGGGATGGTATATGGAAGCGGGACATTTGGGAGTAATTAGGTTTTTGATAGGGACATGTAGGTGGAGTCCTCATGATGGGATCGGTACACTTCTAAAAAGAGAGAAGAGGCTAGAGCTCTCTACCATGTGAGGATACAACAAGAAGAGGCTCTCCTGCCCATCCCCCACACCTCCACTGCAAACCAGGAAGAGGTCTCTCACCAGACACTGAATCTACTGGCATCCTGATCTTAGAATTCCCAGCCTTAGAACAGTGAGAAATAAATGTCTGCTGTTTAACCCATGCTATCTATAGTATCCTGGTATAGCAGATTGAATGAAGACACGTATCATTCCTGATTATTTAATTTTAAAATATAGACATTTAGTAATTTTCTTTTTTATTTATAGAAACTTTAGTGTATGTGTGTATGTGTGTCTGTGTGTACATGTGCACACCTTGCTGTGAAAGTAGATATTATGGATACAATAATTTTGGCATATATACCCACAATTTAGTAGATTATACAGTTTTCTCTGGTTAGGTGGATTAGTTGCAGACATGCCCATTTTTCTGGATTCAGATTTTGGTGCTGACTTACCTATCCACTGCTATTGCAACCAAAGTAAAGACTGAAGCTGCAACTGATATTCCCTGGATGAATCCACTGATTTTGCACATTGTGCTTCCAAATGGCCATCCTGACAAAGAAATGGAACAGTAAGTCTTTGAAAAGATTTTTTTAAATTTTACTGAAAATATAAACAGAAAGGCATGAAATCAAGACTGATACAACTTTCCTAAATGATATCCAGGGAATAATCAATGTTTCCCAATTATTTTTATTAATATCTCCAGAGATCTTTTTTCAGTATACTAGTAATAATATCAGAATCACATGGTGGCTACAAAATTCTAGGCTCTGTAATAAGTGCTTTGCATCTATTAACATCTCTAATTTCAATAGGCTTTTGAAGTCTTTATTATTCTCCTTAGGATACAGACTAGGTAACAAATACATATCACATGCCTTGTTAACATCATATTAAGAATTTGAACCCTAGCAGTGTTGTTCCACAGTTCAATAAACCTTATACAATAATGCCCTTTAAATGAATAAAATAGGAAGAAAATTAGAATTCTAATCACATGTTGAAGCTTTAACTTCCAACATGATGGTATTAGGAGATGCACCCTCCGGGAAATAATTTAGATGAGGTCATGAGGGTGTTGCTCACACAATGGGATTTATAAAAGAGGAAGAGAGAAAGATCTCTCTCCCATGCATGCACTGAGAAAAGGCCATGTGAACACACTGTAAGAAGCTGGCTACATACAAACCAGGAAAAGAACCCTCCCCAAGAACTTGACCATGCTGGCACCCTATTCTCAAACTTCTAGTCTCCAGAATGATGAGAACATAAATGCTGTTTAAGGCCCCCAGTCTATGATATTTTGTTATAATAGCCTGAGCTAAGACACTTTGAAAATAAAGAGCACTTTGCATGAACAAAAGTAGTCTATATGAATTACTTCTTAACTGAACCTCAGTTACTAGAATGTTTATGAGAGAAATTACTAAGATTATTATAACAGTTTAATATTCTAAATACTTATCTGCTATTATAGGAAAGTAACAATCTTCCACTGGCAAATATTCTAGTTTCCTAAAAGATGAATGCTGTATATTTCTGATTTTTAAAATTTATCTCTTAAACAATACTCTGCAATTTATTTTAAAAATATTCTTACCTAATTTAAAATATTCCCAGCAATCTAAATAATCCAAATATATGGTTTTTTTTTTAAAAAAAAAACATATTATTGATCCAGACCTTTCTGAAATAGGTGTTTGAGTGAATCTACTGAGTAAACCAAGAGAGCATGTCTTCTCAGTCCTAAAATTAGTTTTAGTATTATTTCAACAAAAATACAAAAAAATAAAATAAAAATTAAAAATAAAAAAATTAATTTAAAAAAAAGAATGTATATAGTCATTGGTTGAAATTGGAAGAAGAATCATACGATTTATCTCATGTCCCTCACCAAACTCCATTTGAAATGACAGCACAGCACTAGGGCAAAGGGAACATAAATCCATAGAAACTGAGGTGCCAGATACCAATGAATGGAAAGTTGGAAAAACAACATAATTCACTGAATTATGTATAAATGCTATCAGATGCCATTAGCTTTTCCCCAGGTGATCATAAGAATGGAAGGTACTCTCTAAGGAGTTGGAGCACAGTGGCTCTTGATTCTGAGTCACCAAATTCAAGTAGAATGAGCATCACAATGCAGAAGCATTAAGTGAAAGTACACGCTCTGTACGCAATATCGCTGGCCCACTTAATCTGGAATGCAACAGCCAGCCTTATATCCCTATGGCAGTAGATCAGAAAATTTCCATCTAGGGAAGGTGATCCTCTCAAGAACAGTGAGATGCAGATTTTAACAGTTATGGATTTCCCAATAAATAACCCAGACTAATGAAGCCAGGAGTAGTCCTAACCTCATCCCCAGGCATGCGGAGGTTCAAGGCAACCGCACAATGCCTCTTTTTGAAACACAAACAGCTAAGTAGCAGTTGATATTAGGGAAACCTCACAGAAAAAAGGAAGAGTTTAAAACAAATAAGAAAAAAGAAATTTAGGAGAAAACCAGTATGAATCATGTAAATGAAAAATGAAAAGCAAACAAAAATTAATACCAATAACCTCAGAGATATAACCAGTTTATTCACGAAATATGTGCATGAGAGTGTAAGAAATAGGGAGAAAATAAAATAGCTCAAAGAACTTAAAATATAATAACAGAAATGAGGAACGCAACATAGAGTCTGGAAGAAAAAGTTAAGAAAACCTCTAAAAGTAGAACAATAAGGAGAAGAAAAATAAAAAAGATTTTAAAAAGTAGCAATTCAGAATCTCCAATATCTAACTGAGTTAAAGAAAGGAAAATGAAAAGAACTCTATAAGAAAATTCCCCAGGATCAGAAGGCATTTATTTATTTTCTTGATTAGAAAAAAAAAATCTACTTTGTGTACAGCACAATAAAAAAAAAAAAACATTTCATAATTGTCTGAAATTCAGGACACTAAGGATAGAGAAAAGCCCTAAGATCTTTCAGGGGTGGGGGGGGAACAAAATGCAAATCATGAATAAATGAAGCAAAGTCAAATGGCATTAGATTTTTCAGGTTTCTAAGGAGTAACAGCAGAGCGATCTCTTTAAATATTTTTAGGGGGAAAGAAGTCCAGCCTAGAATACTTTATACAGCTAACTAATCAAGTGTGAGGACAGGGTAAAGACCTACAAGATCTCAAACATTTTATCTTAATGTACCCTTTCTTTGGCAGCTAACAGAGAAATAAACCAAGAAAAAAAGAAATGGCATTTAGAAAACATGATTGAGAGAAGCGAGATTATTCAGGTCTCAGTGAAGGGCCATCCCAGAGCAGTAACTGAGCTCCATGTCTGGATAGAAACAAGATGACCGAGAGCACCTGGAGGGCAACTTCAGGAAAAAGTTGCAATTTACAGATTACTTGCTATGTTTGAAGGTATTGATGAGAAATTAACACTCCTGGAAGAGAATCTGAGGATACATTACTGATAGATATGCACACAAATCTAAGCAAATCAAAATATAATGTCATTAAATCCAGAAAAACAAACAAAAAAACATTTTATAAGAGAAAATTTGCTGTCATTGCACTCTACTTTGTTCAACAGGAGTAAGAGACATATAATAACAGGGATGCAAACTCTGAATATTGATTTAACCAAAAACCATGATATAATTATTTTGAGAGAATGAGAGGAGGTAAGGAGTCTGAATGTATATTTGTGGCTCTGCATAAATCCATGTGACATCATTTACACTGAATTTCAGCCAATGTTGTTTTCCCAACTTCACATTCAGTAGCATCTGACACTCAGTTTTTATAGATTTATGTTCTTTTGTCCTAGTGTTGTCCTTTCAGTGGAGTTTGGTGAGGAAAACTGCCTCATGTGGTATAAGAAGATTATGAAAACTAAATTATATCTTATACAATTTGATAATAATATGATGAAAACATGTTATTTAGAAATATGATAGTAATTTCCAAAAATAAATGCAAAAAAGCTGCATGTGGCTTCCTCCTGGGAATGGGAATCAGAAGTAAGGAAGAGTAATGTATGTGAAAATGTTTTTCATGATAATTTAATTATAAATGTTTACAGGGAAACATTGAGAGCATTTCTTATTGGTGAAATAGGTTTCCTGAGAACAAGAACAATAATTTTTATTAATTCTTTCACTCTTTGGCTAACATAGTATCTTAAAATTGTACTTTCTTATCATTTTTTAATGCTAAACATTACTAAGACACTGAATCTATGAAGTACATAGTGATAGAACAGGCATTCTGAATTCTCTCTGGTTCTCACACCAGAGAAGGAAGGAAACTGGTAAATTCTATAGAGAAACCTCTTATTCTTCAGTATAGTGATGTTGAATGCTATGAAAGGATAAGAACTATGATATGGCTCACCCTGCTCTAAACATTTTTGAGATGTTGCTATTGCTTCATTTTTTCTTATAGATATGAAATACGATTATCTTAAGTACTGTTCATTAATTAATACAACAAATATTTGTTAAACAGGTACAATGTACCAAAACTTTACTAGGAGATGGACATATACTGTTCTTGTACTTCCAGAATATATAATGTAATGCAAAAGCAGTAGTAATACAGGCCCACAAGCACTCTCTGTTAGTACCGAGTCATTATTTACGCTGTAAGTTACCACTGATGAACTACCACTTTTTGATAAATCATTGGGACTGCTGCTCCACCTTCCATCAAAAACTGCTGGAAATCTCCCCAACTGACCACAAGAGGGCGTAATCATCTATTTATATTAGATTGAAGATACTGCCTCAGTTGAAACCAGACTTACCAGTTCCTGAACTTTATAGTCCATAATATTCTCAATAATATTTCTACCATATTATATGTGCCCTGAGCTGTATTAAGCAAATTCAAAGTCTTTGGTAATATATACTAGACCTCATTCACTGATGACCTTCTGTGAATACTATAAAAAAATAACAGCTTTCATTTCTCATCTCTGCCACTGGCTTTATTTTTCTCCATAATTCTTATTATTCTCTAACTACTTATATATTAGTTTATTTTCTTTCTCCTCCTTTAGATTCCAGACTCTAGGAGGGCAGGTACCTGGAGCAGTTCTTAGAATTCCATAAATATTTGTGAATGAATGGATGTCTGTGCCATGGCTGCAGGGAGAGGTGACATTTTCTCATATCATCTTTGCACCACACACAAATCAACATCTGCACTACACAGTCAACATACCTGCTATAATGTTGTCCAGCAGTGTGAGAGGCATGCAGAATATGCCAACTAGTAAATCACTGATCACCAGGTTCAAGATGAAGAGATTAGTGACTGTGTGCATATGTTTGTTCCTCATTACAATAAAGCAAACCACTGTATTTCCCACCATGCACAGGAAAAAGATCACAAAATAGGAAATAATGAAGATCGCTGCCACTTGAGCCCAGTGAAGATAGTAGGTCACATAGGTAATGTTGATGTCTGTTTACAGATAATGCTTTGTGTCATTGACAGTCCAAATATGATGCCAGTTTTCTGAAAAGTTTGAGTCCTGTTTCTCATTCATGATGGACCTGAACAAAGGAGAGGCCGAAAAGAAAGAGCATAATTAGAAACAAGTAGAACATAAATTCTGTTCCTGAGTTTAAGAGAGATAGTTTTAAAATTTTATACAATTTTGATGGGCCTTCTTTAATAATCCATGTTTTACATGAAAGTGAGCTATAAATAAGACATTTGAATTATTAGGATTTTAACCAAGAGCACTTGAAAATTCCACTTCGTGCCATAAGTAACACTTAGTATTCATTTTATTTTCTCAATATACTCTGTATTTCACTTCTTTATCATACTTTCTATCCATTTGCAGAGTTTCACAGGGAACTTTGGAAGAGAAATCTTCTAAAACTCCCCTTCCTCCTGCCTCCAGATATCATAACCTGCCCAAACTTCCTTGTTCCTTTAAGGCTAACTTACATGTCTTTAGCTTTACTGATAATTTAAACAAGATGAAGTGTCTACATCTTTAAAACACCATTGAAATAAGCATCTTCTGTCTCCTTTATTCTGCTTTGACTCAGTCAATTGAATATTCTTTTTATACACATCTATGTGCAGACAGAGGCGCCACTTGGTAAATTTCTTAAAATAGGTCCAGGCTACTTGTCTTGGTTTCACTGAGCATAATTCTATTCATATAGAATGTATTCAATAAATGTTTTTATTTAGAATCTATGTATCTTAATGTAGACGTTTCAATCCACCCTGTGTGTCAGAGGTCCCCAACAGCCCAGGTGTGGTGATTTACTAGAAGGACTCACAGGACTCAGCATATAGTGTATTTAAAGCTAAATATTTATGATAGCGAAAGGTTACAAAGCAAAATCAACAAATAAAAAGGCACATGATGTAAAATCTGCAGGAAACAGGCACAAGCTTCTGAGAGTTGTCTCCCAGTGGAGTTACACAGGACATGCTTTATTCCTCTAGCAATGAGTCTGACAACATATGCGAAGTGTTGTCTACCAGGGAAACTGCTTAGAGACTCAATGCCCAAGGTTTCTAATTAGAGATTGGCCACGTGGGCACCTTCTTCCTAGTACGTATCAAAATTTCAGACTCTCAGATGGAAAGTATGTGAGCAGCATGACCTATGTTGTTTGTACAAACAGATTAGGAATAGTTGGCCACTCCTATCATCTAAAGAAACTTTATATCAGTATGGGAGCCTGTTTATGGTTTAATTTCTAATCTCTAACCAAGAGTCAGCTTTGCATGCAGGCTTTTCTAAAGATAGCAGTCTGCATAGTAGATTTATACAGGTGAGCTCCCATATTCATTTTTTTGGAGTAGTTTCATCGACTTTAAATAGGTGAAGTTAAACCCAAATGGTTCTTTACATGTAGATAATCAGACCTCAGTTCTGGAGTAGTGCATTTAGTGACCTCATTATCACTTGCATTTTTCAGTCTTTAAATACGTTTTTATACCACCTTAAAGGAACATGATTATTTTTGCAAATACTACATAAGAATTAAGATATATATTATTTACTTCTGATACTTGACTTTGAATAGTTCTCACTTTGTATCATATGTACAGAGAAGAGTAAACAATGTAAATTACTATGATAAAATAAGTCAAAGCCTCTGATATAAAACATGTTGAAACTGACTATCCAGAGGAGGAAGTAAATTTGACTTTAGAAATATTACACATTCAATTAAATGTCTTCATCAAGTCATATAAAAATGTTCAAATAACAGGGCAAGGAAATTCTAGGATCTATCATGTCTAATATTTAATTTTAAACTAACTTCTGTATTACACACAAAACAGTACTCTCTGCCTATAAGCCTAAATTGTCAGCAAGAGTCTATTAAACAAAACTGCCATTGTGGGAGATATTTTTCCAATATCAAGGGAAATGCTCTGTTGTTTGGGTTGATATTGGTCAGAGAGAAAGAGCATTTATAAAAGACAGAAACAAGAATGTGTCATACATATCCAGAGAATTCTTGGTGATACTGTAGTGGAGGAGAATGGTGGATGCTGGATTTTCCAAAGCACGTGTGATGGAGACAATTTTAGTTGTATGTGAGAGCAACATTCAACAAGCATGACTTGTGGAATGTAATGTAAAAGCAACCATATTTTTATTTGAGGCTAACTTCTCCTTTACCCCTGGATGATATTTGGAAGAATTCTTATTAATTAAATCATTTTCTGATAATATGAAACAGTATACTAATTAATGTGTCTAGTCTAGTATAATAAGCAAAATCTTAAATTTCCACCAAGGATGCCCCTTTGCTTTTCTCTTTACTGACTAGCCCTTGCTCTTTGATATCTCTATGCCCATCTTGCCAATTTCAGTTCTGATCCTTGCCAGAGTTGTGGGTGGACAAGGTGGAAAGAGTCAAGACAAGTCCTACTTTTCTTTCTTTATGTTCCTTGGCCTGAACAGAGTTTTATAGCTGACCATTACTGGAACCAGGCCCGAATAGTTTAGTGTCTTACACGAAATAGTGGCAAGCCTCCTCACAGCACTCAGATGATCACCAGACCACTCCATATCAAACAGTTCCCAGGGGCTTAAATAGGCACAGAAATCCAACAAAAGAATTCAACTGACCGTAATGGATAGTCAGAATCAAAATTTGCCTATAGCAGGAAACTTTGTACACAGACCCAGTTCTCATGGACAGTATTCTGAAGTGAGGTATGCTTAATTAATTGCACTTGGCCAAGCACTTTGATCTAACCCAATCAGAAGTTAAAGCAATGTTTTACAAAATTTACTTTCTCTCTCTCTCAAAAGCTCTTTCCTCATCCAAGTTAGGGAGACCTATCTAAGCCTTGTCTCCAAGATCCTTGTCTCACTGCCTCCCAAATAAATCCTTTTCTCTATGAAAAATCTATTGTTTCAGACTTTGGCTTCCCTGTGTGCGATAGGCAATGAGCCCACAGACCCAAGAAGGTGACATCACTTTTGTGGGCACTTTACTGGCCATTTCAGAGACATTAAAACTATTGCTATGGATCTCTCATCTATACTTCTCTTGTGAGGAAATTCATCTCTAGCTGCTGCTGACTCTTTCTTCAGCCTCGAGAATCCTACAGGTCACACCACTATACACGTTCAAAGTTAACCTTCACTTGGGTGTGTCTATCACCTTTGGCCCACAGTTCACATTTGTGCATCTTTTGTCTGGAAAAATTCTAGCAGTGTAAGTTGGCCAATGACACCAACTCTCTGTTGCTTCACTACCAGAAAAACAAACCAGCCAGCCAGGTCCTGGCACTTTAGATGTCTCAGTATGAGGCAGACACGAGTCTACTGTGGTACAATCTTCCTCGTCACCCGAGCTGGGCGCTCTAGGGGTGTCCCTTGTGTGTGCCCTCTTGTTAGTTGAGTAGAAAGGATATAATAAAGATTAGAGTAAAAATAAATGAAACAGAGTCTAAAAATCCAAAAGATCAATAAAACCAGGAGCTGGTTCTTTGACAAGATATAGAAAATTAATAAATCTTTTATCTGACTCATTAAGAAAAAGAGAGAAAGGTCTCATATAAATAAAATCAGAAATAAAAGAGAAATGACAACCAATACCACAGAAATACAAAGGATTGTTAGGAAATACTATGAACAATTATATGCCAACAAGTTGGACAAGCTGAGAGAAATGAATAAAAACCTAGAAACGTACAATCTTCCAAGACTAAACCAGGAAGAAACAGAAAATCTGAGCAGATGGACAACTGCTAAAAAAAATTAAATCATTAATCAAAAAACTCCCAAAAAGTAATAGTCCAGGATCAAATGGTTTCCAAGGAGAATTTTTACCAAAGATTCAAAGAAGAATTAATACATATCTTTCTCAAACTATTCCTTAAAATTGATGAGAAGGGAAGGCTCCCAAACTTACTTCCCAAGTCCAGAATTACTGTGATACAAAAACTAGACAAAGATACTACAAAAAAAGGATGGATGGGGCAGAATTATAGGCCTGGATGGACATAGATGCAACAAATCCTCAACAAAATATTAGCAAACTGAATGCGGCAAAGATCAAGTGGCATTTATTTCCAAGATGCAAGTTTGATTTAACATCAGCAAATCTTTTAATGTGATATACCACATAAATGAAATAAAGAATAAAAATCATATGATCACATCAATAGATGCAGGAAAAGCATTTGACAAAATCCAACATCCATGCATGATAAAACTCAGCCAAGTGGGAATAGCAGGAACATACGTCAACATAATAAAGGCCTTATATGACAAATCCACAGCTAACATCATACTCAGAGGGGAAAAGCTAAAGTGTTTTTTTTTAAGATTAGGAATAAAATGAGGGTGTCCACTCTCACTACTTTTTTTCAACATAGTATTTGGAAGTCCTAGCCCTAGCAATCGGACAAGAAAAAGACATAAAAGGCATCTAAATTGGAAGGGAAAAGGTAAGACTATAATTATTTGCAGATGCCATGATACTATATAGAGAGAACCCTAAAAGTTCCACCAAAAAAAAACATTAGAATTAATAAATGAATTCAGTAAAGTCAGATATGAAATTAACATTCACGAATTGGTTGCATTTTTATACATCAATAATAAACTATCAGAAAAAAATTAAGAAAACAATTTCAATTTTAACTGCATCAAAAAATTAATACCTAGGAAAAAATTAACCAAGGAGATAAAGGATTTGTACTCAGAAAACTATAACACATTGAAAAAAGAAATTGAAAGAGATGGAAAGATATATTGTGCCCACGGATAGGAAGAATTAACACCATTAAAATGTCCATACTACCCCACCCCAGAATCTACAGATTGGATGCAATCTTTATCAAAATATCAATGGCATTTTTCACAGAATTGGAACAAAAAAATCCTAAAATTTATATGGACGCACAAAAGACCCCAAATAGCCAAAGCAATCATGAGAAAGAAGAAGTTTGAAGGTATCACACCACATGATATTCAACTATACAAGGGTATAGTAATCAAAACAGCATGGTACTGGCATAAAAACAGACACAGGAATCAATGAAACAGAATAGA